GGATCCTGCTCCCTCCATGGGGATCCTGCTCTGTCCATGGGGATCCTGCTCCACGGGGGCTGCAGCAGCAGTGAGACCCTTGCTGGGAGGCAGCAGCTCCAAGGGAGCTGCAGGAGCTGCTGGTGCCGTTTGTGCAAGGTACAAACCACCCAACAGTGACAGGTTTCAGTCACTGCCATCCCGGGCGGCATTCCAGCTGACAAGGAGAAGGCTGTAGTTTTTCCAATTGGACTCTCCTGGCCCTGGATAAAAGAACACAAATACATTTGTCTGGTTTTCTTCTCTCTTACTCATTTCACATTGCTTTAACTGGTTTTCAGGCCAGGTAGGAACTTGATGCTGGTATATAATGGCAACATCCATGCACCTATAGCTCCCAAAAGCTTTTAAGACCAATTTTAAGACCAACCTCCCAGAATCAGCAGAGCCTGTGAGCACTGGAGCAGTGGCTGTGGCTGGCTCCTCAACACTGGGACAGCCTTCTGMGCTCCTGTGCCTCTCTGGGAAGGGATATAAAAGACCTTGCACTGAAATACTCTTAGACTTAATTAGTTACTTAATTATAAAACACTTCAGAATCCTCTGCTGCAAGGTGAAGAATGCACTGTATTAGTCACATTTTGGTTTTGGTGGTTTTAAATACCTRCATTCAGGATGAGCCGTTACTTTGGGTACTCCAGTGGGATGTTAATGGATTTGGAGCCTCCCCTGAGCTGATGTTGGTGACAGCAGCATGTCACCCAGCACAGCAGGGGCACATTTCAAAGTGCCTGTGCAGTGCAAAGATGAGGCAGTGTTGAGAGTGACTGTCATCTCCCTACCCATGAACGCTTGAGTTCAGGGTATTCTCAGCTGAAGGAATCTGGGTAAGCAGAGACCTCCAGGTGTGAGAACCTCAGAGCAGATTCTTTTTRTCAGGAATCACAGTGAGAGCAGCTCCCCTGCAGTGCTGCTCACCCCACCACAGCTCTGCTCAGGTACTGAGAGCTGCAGTGTCCACGTGTTGCTGCAGCACAAGGTCATATGCTCCCCAAAAACACAGTCCCCCAATCTGGAAGGGCTGCTAATTGCCCCTAATACTATCCAGCACAAAGCAAATACAATTGACGTGTCCCACACAGCTCTGCAGCCAGAGCCAGCACCCAGTGCAGGATAGGGGCCAGGATTTGGTTTTACCAAGGCAGTTCTATAAATAAAATTCCTTTACTCCCTGGAGCTGAGAAAATCACAAGTTTGCTCAGAGTTTCTCTCTCAGCAGAGATGTTTCCTTGCCAGCTCTTTGCTCTTCATGCTCATGAGCATCCATGAAGGCAAAAAAGCAAAATGAGTCCCTCATCACCAGCAAGCCAAGAACTTGTCTCACTGTGAGCAGGAAGAGCAAGCAGGCCCCCATGGAGCTGCTGGATTAGCACAAATACAGCACTCAGTTTGCAGTCAGGAATTTCCCAGAACCAGTTGTTAAAGAACAGGGAGTTTTTTAATTACAACCCATCCCAAGCTATTTATTTGCTGGCATTTAAATCCCTTTTGAATCCACTTCCTACGAGCTAACGTGGTGTGGGCACGTGCAGGGTTTGTGCACRTGGACCTGGCTGTGTGTAAGCATGGCCTGGCCGTGCTGGGTCCTGCTCAGCCCCACAGATCCCCCAGCTCTGAGCCCCTGCACTGCCCCACAGCCACTCCTGGCACCTCAGATTGGGCCTTCACATATGGAACATCCATGCTGAAAGGACAGGACTTTGGATTTTAGGATCTCCACATAGTAAACTGTCTGGAATTTAAGAATAAAAGGACTTGCTGGGAGGTGTACGCGTAAATAAGCCACTCTGAAGCCTTTGAACTCTTAGGAACTGCCCCTGGCGTGTGCCAGGTGTGGTTACAATTTGTGCTGAAGCTCCTCCTTACCTGGCTGCAGCCCCAGCATGAGCTGGTGAGCAAGCAGCCCATGTGTGCTGAGCTGTGCACAAACCTCCCAGCCCTCTTCAGAGGGATTGCTGCACCCTGCACATGGCAAAACTCCATTTAGGCCACCAAACAGCTCCTTGGGTGCTGAACTTTGTCATGCAACAARCATGGGACAGTGAGCCAGAGGAAAAAAAGTTCCAAGTATGACAGCTTGCCTTAGGAAAACACAGACCACGCAGATTTAACTGTGACTTGGGCTATTTTCTCTTTGCATGAACTGARTGCTCAACACCCCCTTCCAGCATTTCATGGGAGATAGACAGATAACACCTCTATTGGGATAAAAATACTCTGCACTCCAACGTCCCACCTTCACACGGACGTCTATAGATAGTGCCTGCGTCTTGGTATTTTCTTCTCCTCCAGAATCATCTCCAACTCCTTTCTGCATTTGACAGACAGGACTTGGATTGCAGGAGCTTCTTGTTCAAAGCAAGCTCCATSTTTGCCCCCGGCAGAGGCAAGTGCATTTCCTGGCCCCCTCACCGAGCCAACCACCTTCCTCACCCTCCCAGAACCCCCAGCAGTTCATGTGTGGTCACAGCAATGACCTCAAAATGTGTGTCACGTCCCCTTGGGCTGGACAAGTGCTGTGGGCATGTCACAGAGCCGTGGATGCTGCCCATGCCTGGGCTTTGCTCAGGTAGTGGTGCTGGCTGCTTTGCCACCAGAGCATCTTTGCACCCCACAGCTCTGGRGTTGGTAGGAGTGTGTCACAGAGCCCCTCAGCTGGACACGGAGATGCTTCCTTTGGTTCCAAARTTCTGGGTGCTCTTGTGGCCTTTCTGGAGAATTGACTTGGCCCAAGTCTCCTTCACTGCTGCGTTGCTCTCAGGGTTTGTCTCATTCTAACAGAACAAGGAGATGCTCCTGCAGCTCTGGTGGCACCCTGTGCAGGACATTGGTGTGTCTTTTGTCCCTCTGCATGTAGTTTTACCTACTGCAAGGAGAGTGTGTGATGGACAACACACACCTCAAACACCGTGTGGGCAGCAGAGCAGGCACAGGGCACCCCTGGCTGGCACCTCGGACACTGCAAAGCCAAAAGACCTCCACAGCCAACAACAGGAGCCAGTTTCCCTGGTTTTACAAAATTAGGTACCAAGCTGCAAACACATAAAAGTGTTTTAATTTGTTTCCAAGGCAATGAGTCAGGCTCAGATGGCGAGTCAGGAATAGCACAGCAGGGCT